GCTGCATCATCTGGGAATCCTCTGCCTCAAGTAATTTACTGCTTCAACCCAGACATTTCCGCCATGACGGCACCAGCACCTGCTGCACCGCCACGCAGGCCGCGCACGACGACTCGTACGCCACCTGCACCGACCACCGCAGAACAAATCGCCAAACCTCTCCCGGAATCTGCAGACACATCATCCACAGGGACCCTCTCAACTTCAGCTTCTTCGTCACTTCCCGCGCCACTGCCTTCTTCGGCAGAGATATCCTTCATGGACTCTGTAGCACGCTTCATACACGCCGACTGGCATGTGGAACAGCAATATGACGTCACTTGCAACGCCGCCATTCGCTACATGCAACGTGGGCAGCCGTCAGCACTGCCCACAGACTTCTTCGTCGACACACGAAAACAACTACGGCCTTCCCTTCCCAAATCAGGGAATTGGCCGCCAAAGGTCGCATCATCACCGATGACAACGGCAAGCCGCTCTTGGCTCGACAGTTTGCTAAACCGCCAAACTCCGACAACGATCGTCCGAGCGGTAGAGCTGCTCGCCTTCTCGACAATGAACCCACGCGCATATATGTGCGAGAACACATGCGTCCCTGGGTAGTGCTTCAATGCCACTCGAGCACTCTCTGCCACTTTGGCACCGACAAACCCATCAGCGTTCTGGAACATCTCTACTGGTGGGCTGACATGGGCGCTTGCGCCCGCTTGTGAACTCGACAATGCTACACATGCCAAGGCCGCAAAGCAGCACGACAAACTATACGATGGCCCATCCTCATCATTCCCCTGCCATCAGGGCCAGGTGTGGCCATCAGCCTGGACTATTTTGGACCTCTCCCTAATACTCCACGCGGCAACGCCTGCATCTTACTCTTCACCGACCGCTATAGCAGGCGGGCCGACATGTACGCAATCTCACCCGCGAACAACACGGCCGAAGGGACCGCCAGTATATTCGTCAATCAATACATTCCACTCTGGGGATGCCCGGTGAGCTTTCCTTCAGACAATGGTCTTCGCTTCACCTCACACCTTTCTGACGCCATCTTTGAACTTCTCCGCATACGCAAAACCACCACCAGCGCCTATCACCCTTGCGGCAACGGCGACTTGGAACGCGTCAACTACACAACGGCTCAGATACTTGCTGTGTCCGTCAATGAGAGGCAAGATGGCTAGGATCTACATCTCCCGCATGTGGAATTTGCCTACAACAGCACGGTGAGCGCTGCCACAGGGCTAGCACCCAACCAAGTGCTCATCGTCGTCTTGCTCGCTTCACCATGACCGTTATTGACAACATCTACGCTCGCGGACATCAATGCCTGGCTGAGGATGAACTTGAACACCAAAACCTCGCTGTGGACAGACAACGTCGCTCGTACGACCTGGTTCGAGAGCAACACGCGCTCAACGTCGACAAAATCGAGCGCAGGGACTCGTCACTACCGGGTGCACTCCACCGACGGCCCGTCTACAAGATAGGACATTGGGTCTGGGTCTACAATCAGGCATCGACCATTCGCCAAGTCGCTTCCACCACCGCCTCCGCCTCGGACTCACAGGTTCTCAAACCCAAGCTCTCCTTGAACTGGACGGGGCCCTTCAAAATTCTTGCCGTAGGCCCCAGCGACAGGCACCGGATGGGCGCCCGATTGCCGACAAAATCCTCTTCTTGAACCTGCCCAACAACATGCCCGGCGCCGACGCAAAAAACCGCGTCTGTGTAGTACGCTGCAAGCCGTGCCACCACGCGCACGACACTCACATACCCCGCTTCCTGCAAGCTGGCCTCACAAGATACGTCCTCAACAAAAACACCAACAAATCCCCTCCGTACCACGTTACCGAGGACGACGTCTCCACTCCTCTTCAACAACGCTTTGAACTAGATGAAATCACCGGCCACCAAAACCGTCCGCGGACCCGGCGGCGTGCTCGCCGCTCTCTACCAAACACATTGGAAAGGCGTGCTTCGACCTTCCTGGTAACCCGAAATCGACCTACAACGCTCGGGTCACCACATCCTTCGCTCCTGGCGGGGCACACCGGATCAGCACAGCCAATAGAACCGTCTTAACCGCAACATTCACTTTGGAGCCGCTGCTCGCGAACTTTCCCGCGCCAAAGGAGAACACGTGTCTTCACCCGGCTAAGCCTACGTCACCCGCGACACATACATTCGCCGCTTCAGTGTCACCGCCATACCCGTGCTCTGATGGTTGGGCAAAATATCGCGACACACCCCGACCACTGATCTCTACATCGTCCGCTTTCTCGACGACCCCGGCCCGATCAAGATCTCCGTCGCCCCCAGCCACTACAGCTCCGAACTTCACGCTGTCTGGGGTTCCTGGTGACTGCAAGTACATCGCAACAGCTCCTTCATGCGTGGCATCCGGAGGAACGTTGACGAATCCAGAGGAGGCCCACTATTGGTCACAACAGCGCCCGCTTCAGCAACAACAACGCCGTCTTCAGCCGCTGGCCGGTGAAAATACCTTGTTTGAATATCGGAGACCGCCTGTTCTTTTTTGTTTTTTTTTTGCGTGCATTCCCTCGCCATGTCAGCAGCTCTTTCCCCCACCGTGTCATCTGCCCCTGGCTAGTTACGACCCTGGCATTGGTTTGTCCTTGTTTGTATTGTGTGTGTGTTTTTTTGTGATACGTTTGTGCATCTGACGCTACAGCTTTGTATATTTTTGGACACCGTTGCCACCCAAGCACCTCATTCTTACAGCCGTCTGCTGGCGTAACAGTTTTCGCCTACGCTCTGCTTGTGTTTTGCGCTCGACCATGCTGCCTACTCTTCCCCCGTAGCCCGTATTATTGTGTGTTTCTTCCGCTTACCCCTTTGAGCTCCCGCGAGCACGAATTATTGTTGTTGCTTCCCGCAGCTTGCGTCGTCTACTGTTGACCCCCGTACCTTGCGACATCCATCCGCTGTCGTCGCCCCGTTTTCAAGGAGTGATGCCGTGGGCGGTGGCTTGCTCCTGGAGATAGATGAAGGTTCTGTCGTTGACACGCCTGTCCACGACCACGTTGAGATGGGAAAGTTGCTTGTTATTGCTGAGAGATGATCAGCAAAGGTCTGGGATGAAGTGGGGATCCAACCTCATCTCAGGGGGTACACAGAGTAGACAATTCTAAGGGGGTAGGGGTCAGAAGGGTATACCTCCTGACCGACCCGCATCCTATCAAGAATAAGATGTACCCTATTCATGCTAGCAGCCACACTCCTTTGCACTAGCCCACCCTGAATATCATATATGCAGATTCTATACTCAAATCAATGCTCAAATCCTAGTCTGAAGCATATTTAAGATTTTAGCTGATGATTTATGATCATGAATCGAAGATATGACTCTTCACAAAACATCCAAAAGGAGGGTGAGTTGTAGAAATATCCCGAATCAATCCCCCACACCATCATTGAGATGAAGAATGCGAACGGTCACGAGACGGAACATCGACATCTCAATGACAACGCTTGAAGGGATAAAGCTACGAAGAATATGTATTGCGGCACAGCACGCCATCATCCTGAACAGACGACGACAGGAAAAGAAGTCAACATCCAGACGCCACACACCACTCTTTTACGCGCACCCGCGCGTATCACCGCTGAAGGAATGAGGGTGACTACCCGAGCGAGTCCAAAACACGGTGACGAAACTCAAAACCCAAACAAATTTCCGAACGAATACGGCCTTTGATACTGGACGCGACGCAAAGGGAAAACTCAACCCAATCTAGGGCGTTAACGAAGGGCAGGAGAAAAGAACGACAGGCAAAGGCACGGAGAACGATGGCCAGCGTGCCAGGGTACCCAACGCGTATAAGGAGATGGCAGGGGCAAGACCTATTGAAGACCAAGGATGCAAAGCACAAGCGATTATTGCAAGAGAGGCGGTCGACGAACTGCGCCATGGCTCGCTGGGGAAACGCATCATTCAAAGACATAAAACACAGAAAGTCGTAGAGATTCATATAACAAGACGATGACTCAGGGGCGCTACTGTGATGAAGGCCTCGCCCGAAGGTGGCGATGATGGAGACGAAGCAGAACGAAGTGTGGGTGACGACGAAAATCCATGGGAGAAGGCGACGCCACGGGATGGAATCCCGAAGCACCAAGCGTATGCGACACTTCTGCGGCACGATGGAACTAAAACAAAAAAAAATTACAACATTAATTGGCAAACAGGCGAACCAGGAAAACGCGGGGAACTCGGTGTCCAAGTGTCCCGAGGCAAACATCACCGACGAACCTTGGGGAACTCTTTTTCCAAGTGTTCAGAGGCAGACAACACCGACGAAACTTCGGAGGGAGCTTGTTGAGAGAACCAAAGACCAACAACAACAAAAAAAAATTGAAGCAAAGGCGAGAGAGAACGGACATCCAGGTCGCGGCAGTTCACTGATTCAGATCAATGCAGGCAACAAGGAAGAAGGATCACTCGACACTGCGTGTCTTGAGGCGGCGTTGCCCCAGCGTCCAAAACAAAATAAGCCAACGAGAGAAAAGAGACAAGACAGAAAAACAAACAAAACAAAATAAAACAAAACGGAAGGTGACAGAAAAAAAAGAAAAAAAAAAAGCAAAACGTCGGCGAGAAGGATGGCACAAAAGACCAAAATAGGCCGATTGGTATATGACAACGACGACGCTAAGAAGAAACGGTGGGAACAGCCGACGGTAAGGAGTCAGCAAGGAGCGGAGTGCGACCACGGTTGTCGCCCAGAGGGCGCGAACGATGTTTCTCTAAACCCCATGATCCACAGACGGCGTCCAAGGCGGTGGAGTAGAGATGCGCAGGCAGAGGCAGAACGCTTGGGCCCGGGTCATCCAAAAATCGAACGATGTACGAGCCGCCCTGATGAGCACCAATACGTCCGGTCCACCACAATCCATCACGGGCCTTGTACCACAGCCGCGCGCCAACAGGGAGGGGCGAAGTGCTGAAACGGCGAAGCCAAGTCGCATTAAGCACAAGATCAGCCCCAGGAGGCAAATAGCGTTCTCCACGATTCCGGGCTAGCTCCCGCTGTGCCGCGCGAGTCCGAGCCACTCGATATGTACGGTTACCCTGCTTGCTTTGGCAGGCCTCCCGGGACCAGTACAAGAGGATGTGTCGACGGAATAGATCAAGGTCGGATTCCCGTTCCCATGAAGGAGTAGTCAGGCCTACCCAATGCGTCTGGTACAGGACAGCGAGAACGCCGCTACGGCCCCGCACCAGTTGATGTCCCGAGATGTAGTCGACCTCGAGGCGCCCGACAGGCACCGACACATCATCCGCGGTGACGTGGAAAGGTGGACATTTATCTCCGAAAGAGTGCAGAACATAACGCGAAAGCTCGGCGGGCAGAGATTGCGGCAAGTCGTCCGTCTCGTACGGATTGCGACAGGGCTTGCAACGAAGGACAGACACGCGACAACGAGCTGCCGGGCCGGAAAGATCGGAAGGCAGGTCCAGGTAGAGGAGTTTATGCGCCAACGGGCGGCCGTCCGGAGTGGCGTCGGCAGAGGTGGGACCCACCGCAAGAACTTTGTAGGGCCCCGTCCAGGAACGTGCGAATTTGGCCTTGAGCACCTGTTGGTCCGTGTCCTTCTGCACACCCTGTCGAATTGTAGCAGCCGTGTTGTACACCCAAGCCCACCCGCCAACGGTAAACTGAGGGAGCTTGTGGATGGCGTCCAGCAGGGATGAATTTCGGCGTTCGACTCGCGAAATCTTCAGCGCGTTGTACTCGCGGACAAGTTCGTAGGCCCGGCGCTGGCGATCGACAGCCAGGTTGCAATACTCGAGTTGATCGCGGGCCAAGCTCTGATGACCACCTACCGTGGGACGATCGAAGACCGAAAGCGGGAGTCGCGGGATGCGTCCGATGTGGATCTCGTTTGGCGCTAATCCAGTAGACTGGTTCACGGAATTGTTGTAGGCAAACTCAACGTGCGGGAGATGTATGTCCCAATCGTTTTGCTGTTCGTTGACGACCACCGCAAGCATCTGGGCCATCGTGTGGTTGACGCGTTCAGTGCCGCCGTTGGTCTGTGGGTGGTAGGAGCTGGTGGTGACCTTCTTGATCTTCATCACCTCGTAGATCGCCATGGAGAGCTTCGAGCAGAAATGCAGTCCGTTGTCCGACAATAACGTAGTCGGACATCCCCACTTGGTCATGTATTGGTTGACGAAGATGTGAGCCGTCCCTCTCGCCGTAAATTCCGCCGCTGTAACTGCGAACATGTCGGCTCTCCGACTGAAACGGTCTGTGAACAACAAAATGTAGGAGTTGCCCTTGGCAGTCACTGGCAGAGGTCCGAAGAAGTCGACGCCGACGACCGTACCAGGCCCCTGCGGCAATGGCATAGCGATGACGGGCCACCGAGCAGTCTGACGTGAAGTCTTGCGAGCTTGACACACCAAACACGCCCGAAGCCACCAGCGCACGGAACGATCCAAACCAATCCACCAGTAGAAGCGCTTGAGCAGATGCTGTGTACGATGGACGCCGAGATGGAATGACGCGGCCGTATGGCATGCANTGCGAGCTTGACACTCCAAACGCGCCCGAAGCCACCAGCGCACGGAACGATCCAAACCAATCCACCAGTAGAAGCGCTCGAGCAGACGCTGTGTACGATGGACGCCGAGATGGAATGACGCGGCCGTATGGCATGCATGAAGGACACACGGACGCATCAGCATTGGCACGTAGACACGGGGCACGCCAGTATCCGGCAGACGAGTGGTCCTGCCGCCAGAGCGCCCAACCGGCTACGTCGCCGATTTATCTACGAGGAGGGTGATGTTGTCATCGGTTGTGTGCAGTCTGGTTTTCGCCGCCAACACAAGCACATCATCTAGCCGAGGGGAGCGAAGAGGAGCACAGAGAGTGAGCAAGCCCGGAGGTGGTGGGGAGGGAGAACCGCAAGACAAAAACGCATAGCCACCACATACTCGCTCTCCCGCTGCTGTTCCCTAGCCCAGTCCACAGTGCTGAAACTCTGAACACAAGCCCGCAAGTGGGAGGTGTCCAAATCAGAAGATTCCGAAAA